GCTTTCTATTACCTTTGTTTCACTTTACCTTTCTTTGTTAAACCATTACCCTTAGCCCCGTTACAACCCTCAACTTCTATCTTGATGTTATGTATTCAATATGTGGAGTTTGAACTTGGTATGAGCTTATGGTGTCACTGGTTCTCGTGTCTAAGTAGTAGCATTCCATTCATGAGATCATATACATGTTAATAATTCCAGAAAATGCTTTCCTTGTTATAACATATGTGAGTGTTCGTCTACATGTTTACATCAATCTTCTCACATATACCTAGTGTAGGGAGTGTAGTCAGAAAATCTGTGTGAAAATCGAGTGCATATCTTGTAAGGAATTGAGCAAATTCTCTAAGGCATGTTACTACATTCAAAACATGGTTTTAAATGCTTAATTGTGAACTAGTATATGGTGACTATGATTAAGAATGTACTTAAGTGTGAAGATGACTAAAATCTGTGAGAATGATGATTTTTAACATGTCATGTGTATTGGAAATCCCTAAGACGGTTGTTGGAAGGTTTAGGTTGTGTTTTACGTGTTTAGTGTCGTTTTGTTTATTTGTTTTTATTCTGTTTTGCTCGAGGACTAGCAAAAGATAAGTATGGGGGAGTTTGATAGGAGCATATTCATGCGACTTAAATGGCTTGTTCTCGTGCATTTACGTTATGTTTCTCTAATTATTTTAGTCCTTTATGCTTCTTTTGTGTGTTTTCAGGTTCTAAGGGCTTAGGGAGCAAGAATGTGCATTTTGAGGCTATTTGGGGCACTTTTGGGCTTGGATTGGATAGCTTAATCATGGAGCAAAGAGGATGGACGAAATTGAAGCCTTGTATGCTCTTTGGGGACATAAAACAAAGGGCCTAGCCCAATCAAACAAATCCTTTGAGCCATGGAAAACCTCTAGCCCAAATCAAACATTCTATGCCATGCAAACCAACCTATTTTAGGCCCATTCTATGTACTTAAACCCTAGCCCTTTAAACTAGCCATATTATGATTTATTCACTTCCATACTCTTCTTTATTCCACATGCATTCACACACATGCACATCATTCACTCACATTTCCTAGCCATGCATCACTTTAACCCACATTTTCACCCATTTACACACACATGCACTCACATGCATTCACATGCATTTCAAGCACCAAACATTCTTCTTTGTCGTGCATTTCCCTTGCCACTTTCTAGCCATTTCATTTCATCATTACATCACCATTCACACCCCTTTAATCCACATGCATCCACATACTCATTCACTTAATCATTAAGCCACACATTCACACACACACACCCAAAACACATCAAAGCCGTGCATTACTCCTTCACATTCCAAACATTTCCACATGCATTCCTCTTACAATTTCAGCCATTACACATGCATTTCAAACCTTTCAACACCCTTTAATCATTCCCTTTTAAGTTATGATTTTATTTCCTAACCCTACATGTATTATTTATTAGCATATTCACATGCATCACAAAACACCACTCATTGCACATACCTTCCCCCTTTAATTCACATGCAAAAACCATCAACACATGCACCCTTTAATTCATTTAACACATATAATCATTCAACCATGTCGTGGCCTACACACACATGCTTTCCAATCTAGCATTCCCATCATAATTCCACCACCAATTCAGCCACAAAACATCATCATTGCACCACAACATTCCTACTTTGCCGTGGCCCTCATTCCCATTTCCAGCATGCATTCACATGCATTTTCAGCACCTACACATCTCACTCACATGCACATTCACCCCTTTCTCTCCCTATAAAAACCCTTGCATTCATTCATTCAAGGGATCTCATTTTGATACACTTCACACCACACAAACACAACCCTTGTGCCGCAAATCCCCTTCCAATCTGTGCAGTTTTTATCCTCCATTTCAGCCATTATCCAACCACTTCCCATCCCTCCAAAACACTTCACATAATCCCCAAAGCTCACCTTAGACCTTGTGCCACAACAACGAGGAAGAAAAGATTGCCTAAACGTTCATACAATTCAAGTTTGAGTTGTTGGAATGTTTAGGTGTTTCTTTGATTTCAATGTTTGAATTCAATTTTCTTTGTTTTGTAAAGGAAGAGAAGAGTGCCTAAACGTTCATACAATTCAAGTTTGAGTTGTTGGAATGTTTAGTTGTTTCTTTGATTTCAAGGTTATGAGGAACTAAAGCCCCTTTAGCTAGGGGGTGATTCGAAACTATGTTTATATTTGCAATATGAATTGATTACTTTTGGTTGGAATTTCATAAGTTGTGGATTCAATTCGTTTAACTGTTTGATTGATAACGTATTTATGTATGTTCATTGAGATTGCAAGCTTAATTTTCATGCATGAATATGACGCTAGAATATAAGTGAGTTTCACCTAATCGTTATGAACTTATATTCACAAGTAGTGGAGGTTGCTTATAAACAATCGCGTTAAACGAATTCTTGGCATAAGTTTCATGCGTATTCCATAGTAACGAATGCCTCGTCAACACTTATAATTTTCATTGAACTTAATGATCTTTGTTGAATGTCTCTATCATGTGTATTCCATAGTTAGGGACTTTGATTAAGAATAATTTGGTTGTAATGCGTATTCCATTCAATCCAATGAATTTAGGGAAATCTGAAAGTTAATTTAAGCGGACCTAATTAACTTGGAGCATTGAGTTTCACAACTTATCGAAAGACCAACTGAGAATCAATATTGTATGCAAGTGTAACATGTGTGGAGAAGAACCCCTTGGCTATTCCATCATCCATATTTTTATCACCTTTTTATTTACGTTTTGCCCTTAATTATAATCTTTCCATTTAATTTAATCTTGCCCAAACACATTTCCCCCATATTTCGTTGAGTCTTAATCATTCGTATTTGTTTTATTTTCGTGTTTTAAGTATTTGGAGTCTTGTGTACTTGTTTTGAATTCTTGTTAAGTAAGTTAAATGTTTTAAAAGTTAGTTTTATTTATTTGAGTCAAGTATTTAGCATCCCTAGTTAATCCTCGGTTAGAACGATCCCTACTTACATCATTACTACAATTGTCACAAATAGGGTTTAATTTGTATGCGTATAATGCTCGTATCACCGTTGCAATGTTTTAAATGCTTAATGGCATGCATATTTTGTCATACAATAAGTAGATATTGACAAATTCACTATTTTGTTTATTTGAATTGGACCGTTTAAAGGTTTTCCGTTTAATGAAGCGCAAGTATTGTCACCATATTATTTATGTGATTCGACCATTTGAAAGGTTATGAGCGCTTAATAATAGTGTACAAGTATTAACTATGATATGAGCCCCCTTCGAATTACTCTCTCTTGAACTTTTGACTCATCTCTTTTAAGATAGTGTATTCAATTAGGATTCTAATGAATTATATTGGTATGAATTTTAATCATAACTAATTACATATATAGGATTATTGATATTTTGTACATAATGTTTTTCTTCGTTTTTGTCAAACCATAGATTTGTTAGATTAGAGAGCCGACGAAGTTTGAACCTACACCGTGGTGGAAAGGTAAAACTCATCTCTTACTGTGGTAGAAGGCCACTTGCCAAAACATAATTACCACAACATAATAACCCAAAAGATAATACAACGAAGTATTGCACATAATTTATTGTGATGCATGTTTATCATGCTCTAATACTTTTGTAGCTAAAATAAGGGACGGAGCTATAAATTTATCGATAAAAAAATCCCTCCTTATATTCAGGTTCTTGATATATAACCTATCAAAACATATAAAAAAAAAATTGATAAAACCAACACAACTTTTAGCCAAAGAATGAAGTTCTTGAATTTGAAAACTAAGAATCAACAATATTATACCACTTAGTGGTTTGGGAAACTCCAAGAAAAATCATAATTAAGCAATTTAATTAGTCAAGAATTGACTAAGAATGTTAGACTACGTCAATAATACCGCAGTAGTAGAAAATATCGATGTCTATTCATCATAGTCGAGTTTCTTCACTATCCTCTCTCTCTCTTAACCACTAATAAATTAACCCATCAACGTTATCGTTTATTAAAAAAAATCACAAAAAATAGGAATAGGATATAAAAAAGTGAACTTTAACGAAAAGCTTCCGGTACTGTTCATTTTAACGAAAAATTACATTTTTACACTAAAAAGTCAATTCTTATACTATTCATTTTACCATTTATTTTATCTTTATCATTAAAACTCAAAGTTTTCAAATTTTTTCCATTAATTTTCCTTATAACAAATAGATTTGGAAAAACAACAACAAGGGCGAGTTTTTAATTAATTAATTAGTCTCCTTTTTCTTAATGGTCTACAAAAAAAAAGGTTAAGAGTTGTTGTCGTTCTTGATAACAACAACAACGACTAAAAAAAACTTCGTTGACCAAAAAAACCGAGTTAAAACTTTTAAACCGGCAGTTGTTGTCAGTTGCCCAATTGGCGGGGAATATTTTACTTTCCCCATCGCGTAGATTGCACAACACGGTTTGATCCTCGGTCCCACTTTAATCCAACGGTCCATAATCTTCCGTTGCAACTTTCTCGCCAGTTCCTGCAGCCGCACCCTATAAATGCTACTCTCTCTCCTCCCTTTCGCGGTCTTTCGCTTCAAGTTCTCCTTCTCTCTCTCTCTAAAAACTCTTTATTCCCTCCTTCGCATTCACTCTCTCTCTCTAGAACTCTTTGACTCCTCTCTCTAAAACTTCACCTTCTCCGGTTATACCCCGGCTCGAATTCTCTCTCCTTCTGCTGCGGGTTGGGATCACAGGTGAGCGATGTTATTTTCTGAGTTCTGTTTGGTTTCCGAGAAAGTGGAAGAAAATTTGAAAAGAAAGTTTTCTTACTCAGGAAGAAAAGAAAGCTTTCGTTTTGACGCCTTAAAGCCTTATGCTTTACTTGAAAGTCGAACTTAATCTTCGGCTCAAATTAGTGAATTTATTTGTTCTCTGTGTTTGAATTTCATTAAATTTTTGTTAACGTTTGGTTAAAATCTTCGTTAGTGTATGTATATGATCGAATGTGCGATTTTAATTTTTAATTTTTTGTCGCAGTGAGGTTTTGGTAGGATTTCGTTTAGATTTCGGCACCCGATGGGGGTCTCTGCTGTGGTGAGATTGGGGGTGAGATCGGCCACCAGCGAAGCTTCCGTAAATTCGATCACTTTGTTCGTGGTGCTCCTATGTTTATGCATTTTGATTGGTCATCTTCTGGAGAAGAATCGATGGATGACCGAATCAGTAACTGCGCTTCTCATCGTAAGTTCCCTCGAATTTTATGCTTTAGAATTAAAACCTGTTCGGGATTGCTTCTCGAAGGCGTTAATTCAAAACTTCTTCTAACTACATTTGTTAGAAAAACTAAAAGTACTTCTGGAAAAGCACTTAGGTTTTTAACAAGAATTTGAATGTGTTTCTGGTCTAGCAGAAGCGCTTCTCATCGTAAGTTTCCTCGAATTTTATGCTTTAGAATTAAAACCTGTTTGGGATTGCTTCTCCAAGGCGTTAATTCTAAAGTTCTTCTAACTACATTTGTTAGAAAAACTAAAAGTACTTCTGGAAAAGCACTTAGGTTTTTAACAAGAATTTGAATGTGTTTCTAGTCTAGCAGAAGCGCTTATGAGCAAAAGTTTTTCTTTTTATATAGAAAAAAAAAGCCCCGAACGATCCCTTAGAATTGGATATTGCCTAATTGTTTTGAAATTTGTGGATGATTGTTGATTGCAGGGTCTTTGTACTGGAATTGTTATTCTACTAAATACCGAAGGCAAAAGCTCACACATCTTAGTGTTTAATGAAGATCTCTTCTTTATATATCTTCTGCCGCCCATTATATTTAACGCCGGGTAAGCCATGTATTTCGTATCTATTTCATATCAATGCCTTCTCATTGTGATCCCCGTGTGCGTGCGCGTGTGTTTGTGTGTGTGTGTTATGGGCAATACATTCAAAGGGTGGGAAGGTTCATTATGATCAAGCCGTTTAAGTAACATGTTATCGATACTTTTTCCTCGCGGCTTGTTTGTGATGATTTTTCTGTGACCAGAGTTTATACATGTCTTTCCTGGTTTCATTCTTTTCCCATATATACCAGATTTCAGGTGAAAAAGAAGCGGTTTTTTCAGAACTTCATGACAATCACGTTGTTGGGTGCTGTCGGAAGTTTGGTATCATTCGTCATTATATCGCTAGGTTAGTTAGATATCCTAGCATGCCATGATATGGCTGACATTACAAGATAAATTCACAAAAGCTATGGTTTATAATGTTTGCAACTTTGATGATCTTGATGCAGGTTCAATGCAGTTGTTCAAAAAATTGGACATTGGTTTCCTCGAGATGGGGGATTATCTTGGTAATCTCTTCGTTACCTTCTCATATTAATCTACATCAACTTCTATTCGGTTTGCGCTCATATTTGTTTTGTGTTTGAAAAATTCGTCGTTTTGTTTGCCATTTGTATACTCTTATTTTTTGTTTCACTTCTGCAGCACTTGGAGCGATCTTCTCGGCCACTGATTCAGTTTGCACCCTGCAAGTGCTTGATCAAGACGAGACACCTTTGCTCTACAGTCTAGTTTTTGGAGAAGGTGTTGTAAATGATGCCACGTCTGTGGCACTTTTCAACGCAATCCAGAAATTTGATCTCTCTCACATCAACTCAACAATTGCCATGGAGTTTAGCGGCAGTTTCTTAGTTCTCTTGTTCGCAAGCATGGTGCTTGGTGTAGCGGTGATTCTCTCTCTCTCTCTCTCTCTCTCTCTCTCTCTATGAAGAGCGCACATGTAAATCTCCCTTTCATGAAACGTAACTTAAAATCAATTTCCATGCATGATATCAACTTGCAGGTTGGATTGCTTAGTGCATACATCATAAAGAAGTTGTACCTTGGCAGGCACTCAACTGATCGGGAAGTTGCTCTTATGATTCTAATGGCTTATTTGTCATACATGGTGGCAGAAGTAAGATTTCGATTTAACCTCTCGGACTGAAAGCTCCATCTAGTTTAGTTTCAGATATTTGTTTCTTGTTCAGTTGTGAGTCCGTGACACACGTTTGCACCCTGTTAACGATACTGACCAATTTTGTTCATCTTCCAGCTATTCGACCTAAGTGGCATTCTTACCGTTTTCTTTTGCGGGCTTGTTATGTCACACTATACCTGGCATAATGTTACAGAAAGTTCAAGAGTTACAACCAAGTAAGCCAACTTTGATAGTTTGCCGTAGCAGCGAAACTTGGTTTTCTTTTTTCTCATACAAATGCAGACATGTATATGTATATAAATATACAGAAGTTGGACAAAGATGTCATGCGTCTGTTTCTCACATGCTATTTCCGCAACTGCAGGCATGCTTTTGCAACGTTCTCGTTTGTTTCTGAGATCTTCATCTTTCTATATGTTGGTATGGATGCCTTGGACATTGAGAAGTGGAAATTCGTAAAGGAGAGGTAACAACTATACAAGCACATCATATAATTTATAAAACGTAACTCGTTACAACAGGCATGCGTTTCTCCTTTGTCCAAATCGAGCTTAATTATTTCCTTTTTCTTTTACAGCCCCGGGACATCAGTTGGAGTCAGTTCGATATTACTTGGCCTGGTTCTGGTGGGAAGAGCGGCTTTTGTATTTCCTCTATGTTTCTTATCAAACTTAACCAGGAGATCACAGACTGACAAAATCGGGTTTAAGCAACAGGTTAGCTATTTTCCGAATCTGTTACTTCAAAAAGTTTCAGCCTCTTGAATTTCTTAGCGACTGACTCTTTGACATAAAACAGGTGACGGTATGGTGGGCAGGACTCATGCGTGGTGCTGTATCTGTGGCTCTTGCCTATAACTGGGTAAGGATATGATCAAATTTATCGTGTTCCTTAGCTTTTGTTTACTGCCACCCGGTATTCTATTTGGTTTATACAGATTGTAATTTGATTGCACGCCACGTGAAGTACGAACACTTGTTATTCATCTGCAGTTGTGTTTTAATGTAACGAAGTTCGTATTATGCTGTGCTTTTTCAGTTTACAATGTCAGGGCATACTCAACAGCGTGGAAACGCAGTCATGATCACTAGTACGATCACAGTAGTTCTCTTCACTAATGTGGTATATTACTTTATCACTGAGCTTTTTCTCAGTTCATATGAGTAACTATTTTCTCATGAGTTCATTCGTTAATTCCAAATCGGTCTTTGGCCATTGTAGGTGTGCGGATTATTGACTAAGCCTCTCGTAAGGTTCTTGTTGCCGCAACAGAAACAGTTTGATAGCATTATGATGTCCGCCGAGTCAGAGATGTCTCTGGCTATGCCGCTCCTCCTCGCTAATGGGGAAGATTCAAAGTCAAGTATGTCTAGTGATAACATGCCCCGTCCATCCAGCCTGCGCATGTTCTTGACGACACCAACTCGTTCTGTCCATTACTATTGGAGAAAGTTTGATGATAGTTACATGCGTCCTGTCTTTGGCGGTAGAGGGTTTGTTCCTTATGCTCCTGGTTCACCCAATGAAAACATGCATCAATCACTCCTCGGCGAGCAGATAATCGTGGAGTAATATTTGTAACTTGGGGATTGATTGTTCGTTGGGTCACTTCGGTGAAAATAGTCAAAATTATAATTTATAGGCAGTTCTTCCCGAGCCTCATTGGTCTTACAAACTCGATAACGTGCCCCGAAACGTCAATGTTTTTGGTGTATAGAGCCTTCCTCGAATTTATTATTGGCCTTGTAGCAGTAGAATTGTATATTTGGAACTTCATGAAAGAAATAGGATCAACAGAACTGTGCCTTGGCGTACATGGTAGTGTTTGCTTAGTTAATGCATAAAACCAAGACCTCATCGGAAACAGACATAAAGTGGACAAAACTCAAACCCCGAGCGAAAGGCTATACAAAACAAGATTAAGATAGTAAACTACAATCCGACTCCAAATTCACACCAGCATCAACTTGTACTTATCACTTCGAAATAAACTCGATGTGATGTGCAACACTCATTTCTCATTTCACACGATTGACACTCTTTGATCTCTCTCGCCTCACGTAGTGGCGAGAAAGTCTTAGAGGTAAAATCATCGCTGGGCTTGTCGGAAGTGTCATCCTTAGGCCTATAGGGAGTATCACTGAAGCAACAACCACAGCAGCAGAAGATCCTGCAATACCACCGCCTCCTCCGCCGCCACCAGGTTCCTCACTAACCCTTTAAACAAGTGAGAGTGGCAAATGCCAAGCAAAAGAGAAACCAACCTTCAAGTCGGACTTTAGAGATATTGCTCTGAATCTAATCCCTATAAGGCTATAAGAATATATAGAATACTCAATAAGTTGTGTTAGATTATGTATATGTAAACAAATAATCAAGTGGGTGTGGGGAGGCAGCTGCATGAGCCTTTCTTACACTGTCAATTAATCTCCTATTTGTTAATGTCAGACACATTTTCGTTTCTTCTGTTTGTTGGTATGTATTTACAGTCGAGCCGTATATATGAAATCAGAGTACTACGAACAAATGAAAGATAGGCTATGAACATTATTTTATTAAAGAAAAAAGAAATAAACAAGATTGTCGAGACGGCTACAAACTGATGGCTACATCTTGACTGACTTAACTTTCATACTAAACTACATGTTGTATTTATATAGACAGCACCGCCGGAGGCTGAAGATTCTTCCTCCTCCTTCGGCGGCACACGCTTAATGTGTGGCGTATTGGTAGTGGCGTATGAACTGTTGCTGATTTATTTGGCTCTTGAATTCTTTAGTGATCGACTCATTGACATAACTCAAACGGGTGGGGATGGTCATGGTACGCATTTGGCCCAAATGGGTGACTACTAGGTGCCAGCTATGTGTTAATTGTGAAGACGAGTGAGATGATCCCTCGCTAACGATGGAGATCCAAATTCCGATAGCATTCCGGTCCGCCTTACTAACGAGCGCTCGTTCTGTCCATTACTATTGGAGAATGTTTGATGATGGTTTCACGAGTCCTGTCTAATACGCATCAATCGCTACTTGGGGAGGAAATAATCGTAGAGTAATATTTATAACTTGTGGGCACTAGGCAGTGCTAGATCCCTCTGAGCCTCATCGATCAGAAGAAGTAAAGTGCTTTGTAAAATGACACTTCTAACAACGGTCGATAGATATAACACTAAACCTACTTGATAGCACTTGAATTTTCAAAAATTATGTGCTTGTAGCGAAATGCTTAAGAGCAGAAGCACTTTCTACATAAGCATCTTCAACAAGACGTTGAACGCATTTCTATCTCATAATTCCTTTGATATAAAGGTTGGTAGATTTTGTAGCATGGTTGCTCAATCAATACATCGTCAATTTGGAAGAAATTAAAGAACAAGATTATTTAAAGTAATAGTTTAACAAAATGATTCAGAATTCACAACATGTACCATGGTCACTGAATCAAATAACACACTTCATAAGATAGTGTAGTAGTAAAACAAATTGGCATCACAAGATTCAGAAGGGAGGGCCTCCTCCGGGAGGACCAAATCCACCACGAGGACCGCCGCCGAAGCATTCCTGCAGCAAACAACAGCAGCACAAGCAGTAGAAGCTGCAATATTCCAATTTCCCACCAACAATGAGAACAAGAACACACTTCAGATTCAATTCTGAACTTCGAATGTTTAAAGGGTAGCGATTTTAACACTCGTCTTTTATGCATTCTCAAGTAGAGTTTGGGATGCTAATTGAGAAGTGTTAAAATCGCTGGAACGATAAACTTTGCAAGCAGTAAAAAAAAAAAAAACAAATCATATAAACATCAAACTGGTGCATAAGAATAATGATCAGAAACAAAAATGCAATAGAGGTGCGTTTAGAAATCATAATTACCAAGAAGATAACATGCTGCATAACCCATCAGCAAACCCTCCAAAAAAGCCAGGTCCTCCCATGAAGCCAGGACCCCAAGGGCCTCCCGGGCCAGGGCCCCAGCCACCAGGTCCTCCAGGCCCAGGGCCGCCCCATCCGCCAGGTCCTCCAGGGCCAGGGCCTCCCCATCCACCTCCTCCCGGACCGCCACCACCTGGGCCTCCCCAACCACCTCCACCACCCGGTCCTCCTCCTCCACCAGGTCCTCCAGGCCCCATCACTAACGCTTTATCTCACAGTTGCACCGCCGCAGCCACCACCCGATCAAGGTAACAAAGTAAGAATGCAAAGATGTAGCTAATCCTAATAGAGAATAGAATACCAAAGCTAACTAAAAAAGTTTTTCAGCTGACTATATTTAAACAAAATCAACGTCGGAAGTGAGAAATGGGGAACGGATGCAGGTCGGCAGGCGGTTTGAGAGCTTACTTACCCCCGAAGTCAAAGCATATTCTAAGTTCATGTGCACACACTTCTAACAACTCTTACAGCCAAACCTGCAAGTCAAACCACACAATCTTTCTACCTACCATTCTAACTTAAATCACTGCTCTATACTTACAACTTACAATCAAGTCATTCGAGTCGATAGAGCCAATTGTAATCGTGTCTAGTTTATCGACATGTCATGCGGACCTGTCAAGCAATTTCAACAAAATGTCAATCCGCATGACAGGTTCATAAACTAGACACGATTAGATAGCAGCATCGGGCTTCCTTAGTGAATACTAGCACAATCTCCGATGCTGAAGTCAGTTCGAGACATAGATTCGATACAAGCCCCATACGGATCATAATCTGGATATCCTCCACCCAGAGCCGGCCAAAATGAATTGGGGGTATCCTATCGTTGTCGACGTTGTGTTACCAATAAATATGTTACTAACACGAATGAAAAGGGTGAATTCGCATTGTCCGCGGTTTGCAAGCCCTAATGAAGCTAGCAATAATTTAGAATCCACCCATTGAAACATAAGCATAATGAAATCAACACATTGACCTGATTGCAAGATATTTGAACCTCTAGACACTTTAAGTAACAAACCACAAACAACTCTTTAAACAATGATACTTTTGGCCACACAAAATTAGTGGGATTGATCATTCCCCGCCTATGAGATCACTGCAGTTCTTGGATGAGGTGAGATTATTTAAGCATGATGATCACTTAGTGTTACTAATTGACGTGTTAGTTACAACAATGAAAAGGTTGAACTCACATCTAATCCAAGTGTTACTTACAACAATGAAAAGGGTGAACTCGCATCATGCGCGACTTGGAAGCTCCAAGTATGCTGAACCATAGAGCAAAGAAATTAGAATCCAAACATTGAAACCCAACCACGATGAAATCAATTCAACACATTGGGATCATTGCAACAAAATTTGAAATATTAGACACTTCATAGTAACAAACTACAAAATCTCACGTGGTCACAACTTACGTGCAATTGAGACACATGAGACTGTAATACAGTGTCCTCGTCGCATGTAAGTTTCTCTCTCTCACCCTTAGCCAGGAGGGACATCAGTTTGAGTATAATTCATGCTAGATTTGGACTCTACAAAGCCGTTTTAAGATAAAAAGTTCAGTGATTTATGTGTTATATTGAAACATCATGGAGTTTAAATTCTTCAACCAGAAGAATAAAGTTGAATTATTTTCTTGCAATTTCTCGGAAACCAAACAGTCTATTAGGATTTGATAAAACAGAGTTAAAAAAGAAAGAGAAATTAAAGGGGGTCCTCAGATTAGCATACTGGCACATTCCTCATCCCAACGAACGACCATGTGCAGGAAGTATGAATCCGCACACATGCGCATAAACGTCGTCGTTGCTTGTGGCCTTCATGCTTCTCATCATCGGCCACGATCTAGTGATTGATCCAAAAATCTACTTCTGAAACCCTAATCGAACAAAACCGACGACTTTTTATCGTCACAAAATTATGAACAAAAGTAAAAGACCGGACCTTTCGAAAATTCAGAACACGCAGAGATTGAAAACACAGTGAGTGAACTCCGATTAGGGTTTTGGTTAATCTAACACTGTCGTGGCAGAAGCTTTGGTGGTGGTATATATATAGGATAATTAATTAGAGATTCTCTATGATGCCCATGTGTCATATCAGCACACTAACGAAAAGTTTTACGTATCATAACAGTAAGGACGATATTGATTGCAAGTCAAAACATGGAGGAGGAAATTGATTGATTTATAAATGACAAAACTTAAGCATCTGCAATGCATAAAAGAAGGGTATTGCTAGAAATTATACGTAAGATAAGGGGTAGCAAGTTGGAGACTCCCACCATCTGTGATACCAACTGAAAAAGTATCATTAAGTTAAGAGCTAATTGGTTCGTTTCTTAACTCTCGAATTTGGTTGATTCTTTGCGTCTATACTCCTGAAAACTACGAAGCACGACATGATGTTATATGATCACCTACATTGTAACATAATACTTAAAATTTAAACTTAAAATGGTGAACCTTAAATTGCTATAAATGAACCGTATTTGTTCATTACTTTATTACGTCACGTAGTTATCTTGTCCTTGTTTTAATTTATGCCTCAAAACTGTTTATGTTAAGTTCTATATATGCTACAAGTCTACAAGCTTGATCTACTTTTCTTTTTGAGTTGCAATGTTTTTGTTTAGTAATCAAGAGTTTTAGGGCGCAAAATTGAGCGCAGTGGCGTTTACAATTCATATGGCCGACCTTATTTAGTGTGATCAGGCTTTGTTGTTGTAGTAGTATTCAAGAGCTTTAGAAAGCAATCAACGTTAAATAAGATCCCCATGTATGAAATGGGCTATGGGGCCAAGATATGTGAGGGTTGTGGAGATGGGCCTTCAAATATGAATGTGAGGCCTTACCCCAATAGGGCACATAAAGAAGAACAAACCCAAAAATGTCACAAATCAAAGCTTTGACATAAAGTATCCTCTGGAAAGAGAAAGGATTAGTGGTCCACTCCATCTTTCGTTGGACCATTTAATTAATGGTTAAAAGGTACGTCCGTTAGCTTAATCAATTGAACTAGATCCGTCAGTTCATAAATTGATTAGGTTTAATTTGAGGACTTAAGATTTAGGACCACGACAGCTAGCTAGTTATTTTCAGCCAACCAAAAAGTGCAATTGGTCCATGACATAAACTTCTCGAAACCTACAGATGGAATTGATAATTCAAGTGTCATGGCAACATATGAAGATATGTGGTCCAGTTATTAGAGACAAATATTTCAGGCCATATTTTACAAGACACGTTTTGAGTTCGATTTCTAATATTGATGAATCACACGATTGTGATCAGGTGAAGGCTTAAATTACTTTGTGAGTCTTATTAGCCTCCAGAAAAATTGACTACCAAGGTGAAAATACTAGCTGGTCCATTCACAAAAAAAAAAAAAAAAAAAAATCATCACAAACATCTTTGGTGTGAGGTTTCACCTACTAGAACCTAAAATTACTAAAGTAAAAAGAAATTCATGCACCTACCGTATAATACAATTTCTCGCATTTATGATCATGCACCATTTATGTGATGTTGCCCTTTTTTTTTTTTTTTTTTTTTTTTGTGTAGTATATAATTGGTTGGACATTGTTTAGCTTCTTATATGTTAGGAATTATTTCTTTTACACAATGGCGTGTTATATTTGACCATACAAATGTCATAAGCAAAACCATTAATTCACTTTGATTATATTATAAACAATTCTGATTATGACATATGTAGAACGAAATGATGTACGTCGCCATGTAAAGAGAAATAACTCTTTACATATAGGAGCTAAGTATCGTTGTACTTAGTTTATGTCCTAATTAAGAGGGTGTGACTAGTTGGCTACAATTTCTCGTGAAATTGATTGCTCTAAACTTGTAGTTATATGAATTTTTTTTTTTTTTTTTTTTTTTTTTTTTTTGTAGTAGTAGTAGTTAGATATTAAGATTCCAATATCGAGGAAGGGGTCCGGATCGAGAAAGGGATCATCTCCGGATCCATTCCTCCCAATCCATCAAATTAGGAAATTCGTGCTATTGAAATTTGATTCAGTGGCTGAAGTTATTATAACTTTTAAAGTGACCCCCTATTTGTAGTTGTTTAATCAAATTTCAATAGTTTAGATTATCTAATTTGATGAATTAGAAAGAAGAGATTCGAAAATGATCTATTTCCCCACTATCGTTGTTCATTTTGAGATACCCAATGTTCCGTTGCATTGTAGAAAAAAAATTATAAGGGGTAATTAAAACAAGATTTGCACAAGGCAATATCCCTTGACTATTGACTATTGGCTAATGATTTGAAATCGGAAGTCCAAACCATCAGCTCAAGCGTGCTGTGGGTGCCGAATCTTAGTTTGTCATCTTGCATAGACAAACGCAGCAGGGAAAGTTTCTAGGAAGGCTGCTCTGCTGAGATGGAAAACATGGTGCCGCTACTTTTTGGTAAGATCAAAACATCTTCGAATTCGGATCATTTCTGAATCTTTATGTTCAGAGTTGACGGACTAAAAAATTCAGACGACTTGATTTAATTTTTACGATCCCTCTTATTCTATTCCTTTAGCCTATTTTATATAAAGTTAAGCTTTCGAACAATCTAAATCTCTTTTTTTTCTCTCTTGAAAAATTTAAATTTTCTAATCCATCGACTTTGACACAAAAATTGCAAGAGGATTTTAATTCAACATCACCCTACATGTATTAAGCAACTTTATTGCAATATATATATAATTTTTTTTTTACCGTCACCCTACATATGATTGATTGTGCATGTCAACTAAAGCTATCTTAAGATTCTTTGCTATGCAATTGGATTTTGTGCATCTCTTGTCTCCTTACTAATTGATACAGGTTTATAATTAGGAAGCGATTTTTGTAAATCATTTTTTACTTTTTGTATATTTTCTCAGATATGACTATTTAATTTTCAAGAAAATTAACGAAATGTTCAAAAAAAAAAAAAAATTTAGTTTTAAAGAAAAATGACAAATAAAAGTATTATGAATAGTACCAAGAAAAGGTAAAAATGTGATTTTTCGTTAAAAGTGAACCATACTGAAAATATTTTGTTAAAACTCTCCTCCTGTTTTTATCCAACCACAAATAAACATATGTAAAATTTACGCTTATAATTTTAATTATTTAATCACGTGTTCATCTTTTTGAAACAATCAAGTAGTATTCGAAAAAAAATGTGTGCACTAAAGCGAAAACTACTTGCACGTAAACCAGAGATTGCGGTGACCTTTCCTCCCAAATTCTATAAATAAGCTTCCGTACTGTAATCGTTTCTCTCCAAGTACTTCGTCAAAATCATGTTTTTGATTGACGTTTATATACGTAGTTATTGTCAAGTAAAGTTGGGGGACTCTTCTTAGATAGGGCTTATCCGTTGTGTTATTGAAGGCTTGTCATTCTAGACTCGAATTCTCACAATCAACC